AAGAAAACGACTTTACAGAAACGTCCTGGAAAAGTCAAGTAAGTTAAAATATGTTCTTTTTACAATTCAAAGGAGACTATTTTTTTTCAGCGTAGTGTTTAACGTTCTTGCATAAACACAAATCAGCGACAGAACTCCCCACCAGCAGCTGCCTAATCCTGCTCAATGCCTATTCATTTGGAGGTTCTAGAATTAATATTTGACGACTCTCTCATTGAAACAACAACCCCTGACCCCATGTGATTGCACTGTCACATTATTCTATGACATATTCATCTTGAATTCATTTACGGACGATTTGATTGGAATGAGGTTTGACATGTATTGGATCCTATTAAAGAAGAAGACTTTGATCTTGTTGATGGGGTTTACATGATATGTATCATCTTTACCAGGGATACCAGGCTTCCACAATATGGTGTCTAAGTAGTTAGTGACTGACAGCTTATCTGACAGGAATACCTTAATCTTGGGGTCCTGAATGAAATATTCTATTTAAAATAAGCATATGATTTGCTTGTCCTAGGGTAGCTCTAGGTCACAAAATGTGAGAGGCAAACCTAGGCACAAACCCTTGCTTGTCTGGTAGGTAGTTTCCCATTGTCCGGGAACCCTGAAGTAGAGAAGTCCCCGTAAGTAGGAATGGGACGAGGGAATAAAAACAAAGGCAGAGTGTGCTCTTGAGCTACTCGGTACCCCCTCCTCTCTGAGGTGATGCTGGGTTTACTGAAAACTTTCTTGAACCACATCTTCCTAACAAGCAGTGCCTTCTGTGGGGACAGGCAGGGACTCGGGCTCACGTCCTGAGTCTGCCTCCCTCATCCCTTCCTACCCAGAGTGAGTTTAGGGGATAAGGAGTTGCACAGCGTGACTTGTCGGTCCTCTCTGTTTCTATTCCTCGGGTTTTTTTAACTTTCTCGCAGTAAAGATGAGGGTTTTTTTTCAGATTGATTCGCTCACCTGCTCTCGTTCGGAAGTCTAAGCCTAAAGATAACCCCTGGAACGCCTGCCTGAAGTGTTCAGAGCATCCTGTTCCATCCCAGCCCTTGGGCACAGGCTGGAGAGTTTCTAGCTGGCTCGTGGGGAAGGGAAGTTTCCGCAAAGGTGGAAGTGGGAGAACATGGGGTGAGTGAAGGTCAGATTTTACTCTCTCCGGTGTTTCCCGGGGGCAGATGTGCCTTGTGCTGAGCACGATTATAAGAGAGAGCAGGATTTGGCTCTGTCTTCTGTTAGAAATAGCGAAAAGGGTCTTGATGTGTAGGTAGATTCCTACCAAAAACCAGGGAAAAGATAAAGCCGTTGAGCAACTGGAGCTGTTCTCTCCTAGCAAGGAGATGTGCAGCCGTTTTCACGCCGCAGGCCCGGCAGCCCGGAGCGGGGCGGGGGTGCGTGCAGACAGAGGTCGAAGGGTTGGGGCTGCCCGCCTCTGCCCCGCACCCCCGAGGGGTGGGCAGGCGGAGGTCTGGGTCTGGCATGGCAGGACGGAAAGCAGGGAGACAGCTCAGCCTCTCCCAGGGCACAGCCCCGACGTGCGGGGCTCTTGCCTTTTCCCCGCGCTTGTCCGGCCAGCCTCTCCCCTGAGAGAGCCGGGTCGGAGGCAAGAGAGGACGGCTGGAGCGACGAGGAACGCTTGTGACTCGTCTGTACAACATATCACCCCTTTAGAACGACCCTCCAGCTCGGGTGAGCTTCGGGGCCGGGGGCTGCGGACAGGGTCGCAAAAATAGCAGCAACAGGAAAATCTGTGCTCAGTTGAAGTTGCCAGTCTATTGGCCCTGCAGAAGCTGATGTCGACACATTTGAGAGTTTGCCGAGAGCCCGGCATGTCTGGTCAATCACAGCTCAGGCCGCTGCCAAGAAGCAGGAGACCTCGGTCACCTCTCTAGTGGCAGCAGTACATGAGCTCGAGCTGCCAAAGGGCTGCACAGACAGGCGTTCAAGTTTTCAAAACATTGTGGGAGATGTGCGGAGCCCGGCCGGGTCTGGGCCCGCTTCCCTCCTCTGCCGCGTTTCTCCGCCTCCTGCAGTCATGTGGCGGCCCCCGCCCCACTCCCCCACCCGCACCAACCTCACCTAACAGTGAGGGACACCGAGGGCCAGGTTCTCCTGCACTGTCTGAGAAAGGGTGGGAGAGACATCCCTGAGTGAGGGGCACGCTGAGAGCCATGAGTGTCTGGCGAGAAATCATCACAACGTTTGAAATGAACTTAGGGCACACCGGTTATGACATTTTTTTTTTAATTGACAAACTGTTCCAGATGTTTTCTCCCTTGACTGAGAAGTGTCAGAATTGATGGATAACAAGTATGTAGAGATGCAGTGTTTTCAGGAGGTATGAGGAAAGCAGCTTTATTTGGGATTCACACTCTCAGTACATTTGTAAGTAACAGATTCATACTTCCTAACGTTTGTCTCTTCCGTGCACTCCTATTGAGATGGTCATGAATAGGACTGTCAAATCCATTTCGTAGAGCAAGTAGACTAGAAAGTTGAGATATTGTGAGGATGGTGTGTGGTTTAAATTGCCTGCGTAAACATGTTATGTAAGGATGGAGAGCTAATTGCATCATTTGTCACTTTTCATCATCTCCACTCAGAAAGATGCACGCAAGGATGTATCTATGGCTACCTACCTGCATATCAGCGTTGTGTTACAGAGGAAATATGGTAAATGCGAGCAGAGCCAAAATTACAGCCAACTCAGAGTATGTGAAGCTGTGACAAAAATGTCCCCTATGTGGTTATGTATGTCTTACTCTTTAATCTTATGGTTTCCAATTGGCTGGTAGCTTCTGTTATGAAAGTAGCTGGGTTGACATTGCCAAATCGTTTCTTGTTTTACTACGTCAGAAAAAACTATCGATTGCCAAAACTGTTACATTCTTATGGAAATACATAATTATACGACGTGAGCTTTACCTGGCATGCATCTGGTAAAGCATCCACTAGCAAGTTAACAGCAAATCAATGTATTAAAGTACTTAGAGGTTGACACGGTGGATAGAGAATTAATCGCTGCTTTATTTCATAAGACTGAGAGGTTGTTGGGGGAGCTGTTCTTATGTCATGATCCGAGCACTGTGCTAATACAGTGGGCAGATATGTAGAGATGTGTTTTTATTTCTTGGAGCAGAAGAGCCTTTCCTCATGTTTCATTTACTTTTTTTAAGTTCACAATCCTCTTCTTAAAAACTTAAGCAGATGCTTCCTTCTGTGCTGGAGCCCTAAGCTTTTCTAAACCTATAAGGCCTCAGTGTATCCACTTGAAACCCAAACCTACACTTTCATTACTAGCACGCAAACCCTGCAGACTGTGTTATTCCCTTCAAGTGAGAATCATCAGAACCGAGTCCGATAGGAATGTTTGGAAATATTTTCCCTCCAAGCCAAGGATGAGGATTTTTCGTAGAATTACCCTGTAAGTGTGTGGGAGAGAAAGTGAGAGAGAGGGAAAGGGAGAGAGACTCCCTCTTCTGGGTTAAACACTCAGATTCAGCCTGAACATCACGATTTCTCGCATTGCTCCGGCGTCCAGTAACGAGATAACTGCTAAAACTTGTCAGAGGCGGAGAAGGGGACGAGAAGTCTCCCAGGGATCCTTTGTCCGGGCTCAGGAACCGGCGCGGTAGCCTGGTCCCTGCCGGACACGCCCGGCCGGCGAGGGGATGGCCCCAGCCGCGGGCTCTGCGGGGAAGGACCCGCTCCCCGCGCTGGCAACAAGTGCCAGGGCCCCTCCGGGACATCGGGACCGCGACCGCTCCGGCGGGGCCCCCCGACCCGCGCTGCTCCGCGCCGCCGGGGGGCTGGGGGGCTCTGCCGGGACGGCCCCCGCGTCGGGGCGGGACAGCGGGGACGGGCAGAGGAGCGGGGGAGGCCGTGGCTTTGTTCCCGCGGCCGCGGCGGTGGGGCCGGACCGGGCCGGGCCGGGGCAGAGCCCCCCCAGACAGAGCCCCCCAGACAGAGCCCCCGCGGGCAGAGCACCCTCAGACAGAGCCCCCGCAGACTCCCCAGGCCCCAGGCAGAGCCCCCAGACAGAGCCTCCCAGACAGAGCCCCCAGACAGAGCCCCCAGACAGAGCCCCCAGGCAGAGCCCCCTAGACAGAGCCCCCAGACAGAGCCCCCCAGACAGAGCCCCCGCGGGCAGAGCCCCCTCAGACAGAGCCCCCCGGGCAGAGCCCCCCAGACAGAGCCCCCCAGACAGAGCCCCCCAGACAGAGCCCCTCCAGACAGAGCCCCCAGACAGAGCCCCCAGACAGAGCCCCCTCAGACAGAGCCCCCAGACAGAGCCCCTCAGACAGAGCCCCCAGACAGAGCCCCTCAGACAGAGCCCCCCAGACAGAGCCCCCCCAGACAGAGCCCCCTCAGACAGAGCCCCCTCAGACAGAGCCCCCCTCAGACAGAGCTCCCCGCGAGTCAGAGCACCCTCAGACAGAGCCTCCAGGCAGAGCCCCCAGACAGAGCCCCGGACAGAGCCCCCGGCCAGAGCCCCCAGACAGAGCCCCCTCAGACAGAGCCCCCGGACAGAGCCCCCAGACAGAGCCCCAGACAGAGCCCCAGAGTCCCCAGACAGAGCCCCCAGACAGAGCCCTCAGACAGAGCCCCCGGGCAGAGCCCCCCGGGCAGAGCCGGGGCACGGGGGTGCCCGGTGGCGGCGCATGCGCGGCGTGCCCCGGCTCGCGCCCCCGCCGCTCGGAGCGATCACCCTGCGAGGCGGCGGCGGGACCTGTCAGCGGTGACGTCACGGCGGCGGCGGCCAATGGGCGCAGGGGCGGGGCCGGGGCCGGGCCGCGCCGTGAGGGGCTCGCGCGGCCCGGGCAGGACGGGCCGTGCCGGGGGAACCTCCCCGACCCTCCGGGGGAACCTCCCCGACCCCTCCGGGAGAACCTCCTCGATCCCTCCGGGGAACCTCCCCCGACCCTCCGGGGAACCTCCCCGACCCTCCGGGAGCCTCCCCGACCCCTCCGGGAACCTCTCCGACCCCTCCGGGGGAACCTCCCCGGCCCCGCCGCCCCCGGCCCGCCCGCGGCCCCGCCGCCCGTGCCCCGCTGCCAGGGCAGGGGGACTGGGAAACTTTCTTTTTTGTTGTTGTTGGGGGGGGGAAGAAAGAAAAAACAAAAAAGTTGGTTTTTTGCCCCCCTCCTCTCTGTGTGTCTCTCTCCTCCCGCTGTCAGGTGACTTTTTAGCGTTAGAAGCTAATGAGCGTGGATGCTCTGGGGATCCCAGTGATGGACCCTGCTGCTCTCTCCAGGCGGAAACCGGCGCTGAGATTAGTAGACTTGGCGGGGGCTCCTCGCCACCACCACCCCCCTCAGAGCATGACAGGCTTGCCGGGCCTCTCCGGGCGCCCCCACGCCGCTCAGCCGGGGCAGCACGCCGCCGAGTGCCGCCTCGGGCCGCAGCCACTCCGGCCAGAACACATGGGGCACCGCCACCATCCTCATCCTCCTCCTCAGCATCACCCCGCGGCCCTTAAGCTCAGCCCTGCCCCTCATCCCCACCACCAGCTCCACCACCACCACCACCACCATCATCATCATCATCATCATCATCATCATCATATGGCAGGCCAAGCCGAGGTGGTCTCTAGTCAAACGGGAGCGTTTGGCCCGGCGCAGTCACCAGCAGCCCCTTACCCCGTGTCTCACCCAGCCCAGGCTCTGGCAGCAGGTAGGGACTTCTTCATACGCAGAGCCCTGCCGCCCCCACTCATGCCAGGGCTGACCGAGCAGCACCCCCCTGCAAGTTCTCACCACGGACTATTTGTCTCAACAACAGGTAGCTACCCCGGACACCATGGTCACCACCACCACCACTCAGAAGCTGGGAATCCCTCTCTGTTCACTGGACTCCATGAGCAGCCTCCCCATGCAGCTCCAGGTGGCCATCTAAACGGACAGCTCAGACTGGGGTTACCTGGAGAAATGTACGCCAGGTCTGAACATTTCACTCAAGTACCAGCCTCCAGGACAGATCATTTTGCTGCTTCTTCACTCCATAACTACGGTGGTATGAACCTGAACGTGAACCTGGCTCCACACCACGGCCCGGGTGCCTTCTTTCGTTACATGAGGCAGCCCATCAAACAGGAACTCATCTGTAAGTGGATTGAGTTGGACCAGACTCCTAAAAAATTATGCTCGAAAACTTTCAGCACGATGCACGAGCTGGTGACTCATGTCACGGTGGAGCACGTTGGAGGACCCGAGCAGTCCAATCACATATGTTTCTGGGAAGAGTGTCCAAGAGAAGGGAAACCTTTCAAGGCCAAATATAAACTTGTAAATCACATCAGAGTCCACACAGGTGAAAAACCTTTCCCCTGCCCTTTCCCAGGCTGTGGCAAAGTGTTTGCCAGATCAGAGAATCTCAAAATACACAAAAGAACTCATACAGGTCAGTATGTAAAGCTCTCTTTACTGTTTTTCTCTCTGTTATTCAGCATACTGTTTTGCCTTTTTTTTTTTTTTTTTTTTTTTTAAATGTATCCTTTGAGTCGTTATTGAATGCACGCCAAGTACTTCTGGAAAATAAATTCTCGGATTTGTTTTCTTCTTTACCGTTTGCACAAGGGGGAGAAAAAGGAGGGGGGAAGGGGACAGCAAGTGCAAATCTTAGAATTCCCGTCCCTATTTTTTTCTGGTTGTGCAGAGAGGCTGCTGCAATGTTTACGTGGGTAGATCTGTGTAAATATCGAGTGATATAAGGACTATTTCTGCTCATTCACACAGGCGAGGATTTTTTTTTTTTTCAATTTAAAGTAGTCGGGGGAAAAAAATGAAATCATTGTGCAAGCTCACAAATTAAAAGTGAACAATGGAAGTTACAACTTGTCTAGTCAGTTTTGACTGATGTCGCTGAGATGCTGCTGCTCGAACGTTGTGAGAATAACACAGCTGCGACCTTTTCGTTCAACAGTTCTGTTTTGGGCAGGGGGAGTTTCAAATGTTTGATCTGAATAACACTGACATTTTTAATGAGCATTGCCTTCCAACGACTTTCTGCATTCGCAAATATGGGGAGCTGCAAGTTCTGATTCTCATGAGGGAAAAAAAAAAAAGAAAAAGAAAAAAGAAAAAAAAGAAATAAAAGGAAAGAAACCCTGGTATTGTTTCGGCCTGTACATTTTGAAATGTCATTTGCAGATCTGTTAAGCGAAATTGGGACATGTGTCAGAAACATCTGTTAGTTCTAGTTAACAGAAAATAAAGTAACTCGATGGACGATCTTGCAAAACTGCGTTTGAACTCTTCCGGCCAGGAAAGCATTTATAATTAATGAAATTGCACGTAGAAAGTTTTCACACTTCCAGGAGCAGCTTGTGAAGTTGTATTAATTAGTTTAGCAGCCGGTGTTTGTAGTCTGCAGCACTAGGTTGTCTTTTTTTTTTTTTTTTTCCCCTCCCCTCTGAAGAAGGAGATAAGAAATAAGCCCTTTTTGGAAAATTTAATCTGTTCCAGTGTAGGGTTTTCCACCTCCCACCCCTTCTGTATAGCCTTATGCACTGCGAGGGAAACTACATAATCCTATTGTAAGATCTGCTTACAGCCAAACGATTTTTTTCGCCTTCCAGTTCATAAAACTCCCCTTCCCCCATGCTCGATGCAGGGCTTGACCTTCCAGGAGTCGCATTTTTTATGATAGAGCTCAACGTGATATAATATGCAGAACATACACTAATTTCGTATCGCTATCTTCTAAACATAGCGCTGGGATTTTACAGCGACCGTCACTCGTCACCTCATTATTTTTCCATCGCTCTATGAGGAGCAAGTCTGTGTGCCGGGCGGGAGGTGGGGGAGGAGGGAGACGATATCACAGTTGCGTTCTTCGGCTGCCTTCTCGGTCCCTTTTTCGAGGAAAAAGGGGTATCCCCGGGTCACGTAACTTGTGTCCGAGCCAGTTCCTTGTTGAATCAGCACAGGTACAGCTATTAACCGGGAGAGCTCATCTCTTAATGACAGTGTTTTTCTTAAGTAAACAAACTTTTACTGCTCTTTAACGGCCTCACTGTTTGAAGTCTCTGAAGCAGAAAATGGTTAAATTCTTGGGAAAACTGACCTACATCGGAGACGCAGGTTCAGGGCAAACCCGAGATCGGAGATTTGCTTTTACTAAACACCATTCTGCGAGTCTGTACTTTTGGCTTTAACTTTCCCGGTGATTAATTGCTGTATTGTGCAAACTCCTGCGGGGCCTTTATGGTTCCACCGTTTCTATTAAACACCTAGAAATTGCCAGAAAAGCAATGTTTCTGAAACCCTAATAGAACTTACTACGAATTATTCATGAAGACAGTTCTAGATTCAACAGGAAAATTATTGCCTCCTTAAATATTAATGACTTCTGATTTCTCCGAGGCTGGGGAGCAGGCAGAGGGATATCTGGAGATATGCGAGTTTTCCAGGTTGGAGGATAAGGCCGTTAAGGCGGCGGCAGCAGGACGAGCAGGACGGGCTGGGATCACTTCGCCGCCTTCCCAGAGGGCCAGGAACAGTAGTGCGAGCCGTGGGCCGGAGCCCCGCTCCCTCCCTGCGGCCCCCATCGCCCCGCGCCTCGCCCTCAGCCCGGAGGCCACCGCCTCCGGCTTCCCCCCGCCACAACTCACCCGCACAAGTTGGTAAATACCTTAATCCACTCCCGGAGACGGGGGATTATGCCACCAATTCCAAGCTGAATTTCACTGAACACTTTTGCCCAGCTACAAGTGTGGGGGTAAAATGGCGGTTCAGGTCCTACTCGTCTCCTTCGCCCGCGGAACTTCGTGCATGGCTGCAGCTCAGTGCCCGGGCTGCGGCAGCCGCGACCCGTGCTATGTCCTCTCCCTGCCGGGTAGGGATTTCCACGTAAGAAAACCTGCTCTCGCGAAAGGAATACTTGTAAATGTCTCGTGCGGCTCTTCTTTATTGAGGCGTTCAGGGAATGCAACCCGCGCAGCTGAGAAAATGCTGCCCTCTTCCCACTTGAAACCCGGCTGCACGGACGGACCTTTCAGTGGCGCTTTCAGGGGGTTAAGCGAAGTTGAACATTTTTCAACTCTCGGCAAAGCGCAGTGCGCCGCAGCCCTCTTTTACCTGAATGGAACTTACTTTGTACAAGCGGAGTGCTTATGAGGATGGCTTTCCCTGGGGTCTCCTAACTTACTGCTTGCTTGTACTACACTAATATCCTTGATTTGTTATCTCAACTTAGATGCTGAAGGTCAAATTGTTTCCTTACGTGAAACTCTAATTAGATTATATGCGGGCGTGTGTCTATGCGTTTGCACCGCTATATGTCGACAGTATTTGGTTACAGAATCCGCATCGTTTTGTAAGAGACCTTATTTTTATTCTCTTCCCCCCCCTTCCCTCCAACGCCAGGTATTTACCCATCCTCTATGCAAGTGTTAAGGGTGCAGGATGTGAGTGCTCCTCATTGATTATTACAGTGCGGAAAGGACATACTCTAAACGAGGAGCCTTGAGCTTTTCCCACCCACCTTGCATAAAGTGCATTCATGTGAAATATTTGGAATGCCTTCCTTTATTTGCCTCCGCTCGAAGCCGAAACCGATGTGGGCTGAGTCCCTCCTAAATTTAATCATGACAAACTAAGAGAGGAAAAAAAAAACCAAAAAACAAAAAACACAAACGCACAACCCAAGAAATTTTTTTTAAAAAAATCCCAAACCAAAACAAACACACAAACCCAAATATTGGAAGTCCTTTTGACCACATACGCCATGATGGTGAACACAGTGGCTTTGTTTGCACTTCACGTTAAGCTTCGACCACGTATTTTTGTGGAGTCCTCTCCTTCCTGATACTTTTGGCTTTTGACTGATGAGAAAGTTATTTTCATATTCGCTGGTACAGGACCTGGGTAACCCTTGGCGAGCAGGGTTTTGCACTTTGCTATTGTCAGCGACAATAATGCCGTCAACATTTCATCCTGAAGCTGTCTGTGGCGTGTTTCCTTGAAAACCTCCTGTATATCGTGTACCATGCCAGGTCCACACGATTAGAGGTTAAACTTTCACACGACTCCAGCAACACGATTGTATTTCTGTTATGCATAACGTCACTTATCATATTACCAGCCAAATTAATGCCGAATGCAATTCCTTCCATGACTGTACGTTCAAATGAAAAGGGAATCCTACCCTAGCGACAGTGCTGTGCACCGGCCTAGTCATCCTTTTGCTGAATCTTTATCGTTCTGCACCCACAGTCTATGTCTTTCTGAAATACTTTGTGCACGGTATCAGCAAGCCGGGGAGAGGGGAAAAGGAGGGGGATGTGGATCTTCTATGGCAGTGTAATCAGTGCGAGTAAGAAGTGGATTAAATGTGATCTAGCCAGGTTATGAAAAATATTTCCACGTGCACCTGAGGGACTGTGAGAAATGTATTTAACGTAGGGGAAGGGATATTTATTCGAAGGGATAAATCACTGACCGCTCTTTCTGCAGACTTCGGAGTCCGCGGGGACAGCACACATTTGCTCGGAACGAGCACTTGGCCTCTTAAGTTTTCCTTGCTTCGGAGCTTTGTCTTTTGCACAAACCGCCACGCTGACACACAGGGCAGGGCACAGGGAAAGAGAAGCTGTCCGGGTAGGGTGCTCTGCGTGCGGAGCCGGCCGTGCAGCCGGGTGGGCATGGAGCGGCGGCTCCGGGGGATGCTCGGCGGGGCCGGCGGGGAAGGGCAGGGCCAGTGAGAGGAGCCTCCGCGGGGAGAGGAGCAGTGCCAGGGCCGGAGAGAGGGCTCCGGGAGGCTGTGGGCTGGGGAGGTGCCGGGGTGCGCCGCTCTCGGCCCTGCCGCCGTCGCTGCTAATGGCTGTGCTCGCCCATTGCCTCCTGCAGGGGAGAAGCCGTTCAAATGTGAATTCGAGGGCTGCGACAGGCGCTTCGCCAACAGCAGCGACAGGAAGAAGCACTCGCATGTCCACACCAGCGACAAGCCCTACAACTGCAAAGTGAGAGGCTGCGACAAGTCCTACACCCACCCCAGCTCCCTGAGAAAACACATGAAAGTGCACTGCAAATCCCCTCCTCCCAGCTCCGGCTACGAGTCCTCCACGCCCTCCTTGGTGTCCCCCTCCTCGGACTCCGGCCGAGAGCCCCCCGCCTCCTGCTCGCACGCTGAGCCCTCCGCGCCCGCGCAGCCCGCCGCCAACCTGAGCGAATGGTACGTGTGTCAGGGCGCGGGGCCCCGCGGCCCCCCCGCCGCCTCCCCGCAGCCGCGCCCCCCCGCCGGGCCCCGGCCCCGCTGCTGAGGGCGCGCCGTGGGCGGTGGCTGGGCCCGGCCGGGCCGGGGAGCGCCGGGCACGGGGGAGCCGAGCGGGAGCGGCGGCCAGAAGCTCTTGGCGGAGGCAGAGCTGGGCTGCGGAACGCGCGGGTGGGCCGGCGGCAGGGCCCGGCCTGCGCCCCCGGCACCGCGCACACGGGAGGGCTGCTGCCGCCTCCTCCCGCCGTGCCACACACCCTCCCTCTGACCGCCTGCCTCCACTCTGTTTACAAACCAACTGATTTGCATCTCTTTTCCTTTTTTCTTTTCCTTTTTCTTTTCCTTTTTCTCTCCCTCTTTCTTTCCCTTTTCCCTTTTCCCTTTTCCCTTTTCCCTTTTCCCTTTTCCCTTTTCCCTTTTCCCTTTTCCCTTTCCCTTCCCTTCCCTTCCCTTCCCTTCCCTTCCCTTCCCTTCCCTTCCCTTCCCTTCCCTTCCCTTCCTTCCCTTCCTTCCCTTCCTCTTCCTTCCCTTCCCTTCCCTTCCCTTCCCTTCCCTTCCCTTCCCCAGAGATTTCATACAGATTTTGGCTGTACAGATTTTCTCTTGTCAACAGTACTGTGTGCTGCCACTATTCTGTTCGCCCACGATTTTCTGTGAGAGTGTTTTTTAAGAAATATATATATATAAACTATTGTTACTGATTTGTACAAAATGGATCCATTAAATTCTTTGATTAATTAACCCGTTCGATGGATGTTTCTGTAAATAATCTCCTTTTCCCTCTTTCTGTATATAAATACATATATATATATTTCCTCCCCCCTACACACACCCAATAGTCGCTAATAAAGAAAGGCCCAGAGGGGTACGATGATTGACTGTCCATTTTAGCTCCCACTGGTAATGGCTTCTAATACCTAAACAATGCCCGTCCCCACTCAGAGTGTGGTTCTGTTGAACCGTGGGCGCTGAAGGTCCTGAGGGGGTTCTGAAGGGGTGGGGGAGACCCCTCTCTGACGTCACTGCCAGGGCGGGGGCCAGGCAGCCCCCGCGAAGCGCGGGCACCGGGGCTGATGCTCCACGGCATCTGCCCTGCGACTAGCCCCGATGAGAACGAACCGGTCCCACGACGCGGCTTTAGCATCTCCATCCTGCCCCAGACTCAAACCTACAGGGTCCACTACACTGATTCAGAGAAAGAAGGGAGAGGAAAAACAAACAAATAAACCCCAAAATAAATAACCAAACCTGTCCACTGGGGTAGCCTGAGACTACTGAATGGTGCCGGTTTAATTACTTTAATGTTGTTTAAGAATACCAGATAGGATAGGCAAATAAATAGCATGGGCTGCTGGAAGGGGTTTCTCTGGCTTGCAGAGTACAGACAGGAGGCTGCTATAACCACATCCTCTCGTGTCTGACAGATCACCTCTGCACCCAGGTGACTGGGGTTAGTGTGTGTATACAACTGCACACATATACACACGTGTAAATCGGGATCCATAAATACATGTATATTTCCTGTAGCTATAAAAGCTACAGGAAAATTAATAGTTGGTCAGTGACTAAAAATACCCCCACACCCAGTGCTTCCCTTACTGATGCATCCGTATTTTCTTCCCACGACAGCAAGTCAGGGTTCCCTTCTTCACTCACCCAAACTCGACAACTTTTGTGTTGAAATACCCCGAATACTGACAACAGCATGTCGCTACCGGGAATGCGCGTAGGGAATTAGCTAGGCGAGAGCAATGTGTGAAAGAGGAGCATAAACAGGGGAGAGTTGTGCCCCTCTGCAGACCCCGAAACTTGTGTCATGGAAATCGAGAGGTGCAGAAGCCAGATGTGAGCAGGGAGGATGTTTCTGTAATGTTTCTGATATCTGTTTATTTCTTTATTTCTCTATTTACAGAAGTATTTGGATGTGTAGGCTAATCACCTTTAATTTTTCATTTGCTTGTTACAGATGTCTACCCCGTTGCTCTCAAGGTAATCTAGACAGACGCAGCTGAAAGCCTGAATCTTTTGCCTTAGACATCAAAGCAAGCTCGCACAAAGAAGTATTTCTTCACAACGGTGAATCTTCATGGTAAGTTAGGATTTCTATGGCAATAGGCAAGTCATACTTAAATAGTGAAAGGCGAAGTCTGGAGCCCGTCCAGTCTTTTCATTAAGGACATAATATTTACGTCTAACAGGCCCTTTTTCTTGTGTATACAAGTATATATTTTTGTTTGACGCGAACTAAATCATTTTCATTTAATTTCCGGTAAACAAAACCCACGCGAACAGGGCACTTGTTCCAGACCATAATAAAAATGGATAAGACTGTCAGGAAGAAAAGGCCCGCTTGAACCGTCGCCTCAGCTCACTTTTGTTTCTGCTTTCTGCCAGGATCAGAGAATGCATTTGGGATTTGAGGGCGAGTTTCTAAAGGCAAGGAAATGGTTTTTAAGGGGGGAAAGAAAAGGAGAAAGGTCTAATCAAGCTCGGGTTGTTCAAAGAGCCTGATTTTGGGGTTGAAAGTGTGAGTTTTATGGTGCATCAGCATGCCACGTTAGGATCGCTATGGTAATGAGGAGAGCAATAGCAAGCGGCCTTCAAAGGAGGCACACTCCATTTGAGACAGTCTATTAAGATACATTTGCACTGACCTTTGGTTTCATGCTAGCTTAATACACTCAATCTGCTCCCCGCTAGAGATAGACTTCCTCCACCTAATGCACTTCGGCGGAGCTGGGCTTTGCTGGGTTTCGCCCTCCCCCCGAGGCGGGCTCCGTTCCGGCGCTGTAGCTCCGGTCTCCTTCTCCCCAAAGTAAGGGACTGACAACTCCCCAGGCTCGGAGGAATCTCCCGCCCGCTGCCCAGCCTTTCTGACCAGCTTCTCGTAGCAAAACTGGCCACAAAGCCTGAGAATTACTTCCTTCTCTTTCCCCCTCCACCCCCGGTAGGGAAAGATAGGATGGGTATTGAAAGACCCTCCTTGGGCTGCCTTGGGCTGCCTTGGCTCCAGGGAGTAGGTGTGCTGATGGAGGTGCCCCAGGACCCGGGAAAGCGGGGCGAGGCAGGGGGGGAACCGCCCGTGTCCCCCTTTACACCCCGCCCGGCCCGGCTGTCGCTTCGCGGCACCGAGCGGAGGCTCCGCGGTGCGGGGGAACTTGACACCCGCATGGCCGGGGCCATGGGCGCTGGGCTATGGGCCCGGGAAAGTTAGAAGTCCATGTTCCAGTAATTGTCTTGTTGTTTATTTTATCCAAGTACCCTAGTGAATAGGGGAAAAATAAACACGGGGGAAAAAATTCAAACAGTTGAGTCGTCTTTAGTGCCAGCCTCTGTGGTTGAATAAAAAGGATGGTCCAATTTCTATTGAGCTGAGAAATCTTTGAAGTGGGAGTTATTATCTGAGAAATTCCTGCTCGTCGTCCTAACAACGCTGATGAAACGTAAAAGGTTCTTTGTCAGCGATTTGTTCTCCTCTCTGTCAAACTCACCCTGCCCGTTAGCTTTAAACCGTTTCTAAAGAGATAAAAATCAAACTTTTAAAGATAACTTTGGGGGCCCAGAGGGTGCAGAAAATACCAAACTATCGAATCCTGTGTATAGACATACATCTGGATATATGTGGCTGTGTCTGCGTGAAACACTGTCCGAGTACAAAGGTTCATAGATGTCTGTATGACCTTACAGTTTGAAAGTTGAAATTATGTCCATTTTTTTGCATTTCATCCTCCAAGCTTTTCCATCTAATAAATTATTCCTACACACACTCTGCACAGAATGAGAATCTTAGGCGAAGGCAGAAATGTTGGGTTTCGTTAACACCATATGTTACCAACAAATATTTTCTTTCCAGTACAGTAAAAACAAGAGCGTAGACATAAGAGTAAAATCTTTGATGATTTTAACGGTCCGGATACCTATCAAGCATGTATATAGTGCCATGTATCGAAGTTGTTAATGCATTCAAAGTGATGGCTTCCATATGCTCTCATGTTTTATTGTCTGTGAGTGTAAGGATAGTTGAACTGCACCCCTTTTGTATCTTCATTTTATAAACATAACTGTGTTGTACTGAAATGATTCCCTATTCAAGTTTTATTTGGTAGTTTCTCATTGGAGATCATGCAATACTGTGTTCAGAGTAGGAATTCCTTGAAGTTGTAACTCATCGGTGTACTTCTGTTTTAGTGGTTACAGAATGATCTGAGCCCAATCCTGCCATTCTAGGCCAATCCATTAATTTAATGGGACCATTCCTGGGTAAAGACCCAGTCAATTTGCAGTGGAGTGGGTATTATTATTATTATTGTTATTAATTTTGGATCTTGTCATATTTATGGGAAAATCTAGGGCATTCTTTGTGAACTGTACAGAGAAGAAGCCTCTGAAAATGTAACTTACAAAAAACCACATTTGCAATGTTGATATGCTGTATCTCTTTCCAAACTTCTGATATTCCTTATTTTTCTTCGTCACATGTTTGGTAATGAAAGAATGTTCTGTTGTGTGCTTGAACATACTATTTATTTTTAATATTTGGATTTTTTTACAATAAATATTTATAAACATTTCATTTCTATGGTTATTTTTACAAATGTGCACTTTTAAAATATGTGTTGACATACTGATGATACCGAGCCATTCCTAAAACACTGTGTAATCCGCCTTGGCTTTATGTTGGTTTTCATATTAGTTGACAAGAAATTTCCCCTAACCTGTGTACTATTAATGTGGTGTACAATCAAGTATTAATACGTGGGGTTTTTTGTTGGTCTTTAACCTTTTTTAATGTTAATCGTTTTAGGTTGGCATTTGTATTAAAAGAACAAAACAAAACAGTTCTGTGGCTTCATTTCTGAGACAGAATTTTTCAGATAGTAGACTTCAAACGAACTGTACTTAAAGCATTGACCGAAGTGTAGAGCGTAAAAACAGAGAGCAGCGTCACCCAAATGGAACCCCGTCCCTCTGGGGTGTGTGTGTCCCTGTTACCTCTGCAGTGGCACCCTGGCTCCTGCACGGGCAGCGTGCGGCTCTGGGGTCACTAACACCGGGGATTTGGCCACTAACACCGGGGATTTGGCCACTAACACTCTGGGCATTGGCGACATTTTCAGCGGGGCCACCCCGAGGGGCTGCTGCTCCCCTCCGCCCCGAGGGGTTGTGTTCCGCAGGATGCAAGTCTTCTTTTGAAGAATTCTCCCCCCCCGTCTCCGAATGAACCCCTGTCACAGTGACACTTTTTGTAAGGTTCCTAGGAGGATTTAGAGTTGGGGTGGTTTTTTTAATTATTATTTTTTTATTATTATTTTTTAAAGAGAGGAAATTCTGTCGTCAGCTAAAGTAATCCTTCTTTGCCTCGCGTATTCTCCTAGCCGACGTTAACACGTTACAGGGCTCCGCAGCTCTCGCACCTGCCCCGTTTTGCTGTCGTGACAAACACAGGTCCCGGTTGGATGTTCGGGGCTGGAGCAGCCCCGGGCACAGCGCGGCCCGAGCCCGGCAGGGCCCTGCGCATGCGCTGCCCTCGGTCCTTTCAGGCAGGGAGAACTTGAAAGAAGTTGCCTGACACAGAGAGATGACAAAAAGTTGGCTTTGGCTGCCAGGAATATTGTCAATAAAGAATACGTTTGACTACATGAAGGGAGAGAGAGAAAGAAAGAAAGAAAATAATTTCAGAAATAATAGAATTCAAGAAAAAGGAACGAAGGGAAACATTTTTGCTGGTCTGTAAAAGACAAAAAACTGGCCCATAAAGGAAAGGAGGGCTAACAGTACATGCTAATTAAAGAATACAATTCTATGGTCTATAATGATTGAGCGAAGACATGTACTTATTACACTTGACTGTCAACAAGGGAAGGAATGTCCCCTCAGACAACATGGTGAGAGACGTGTGGGCATTATTAGTGGCCCTTTTATAGACATTGCCTTTTCTTTCTCAATGCTGACAAACCATTTTGGAGGGAACCATCCCCTGTTGCTTCCTATCATCGATCCCCATGCAAGTCCCTGCATTGTGCAAGTGCATTAATTAAAGACCATTCATTTAACAAAAGCACATTGTATGTTCAGGAAAGGAAGATTAGAAATATGAATCAGTAACCGAGACCCGTTTCCGCCGCCTTGCCGGGAGAAGCAGAGGGGAAGGAGGTGCAGACGTGCGGTTAAACACCCTGCACCTCCCGGACGGAGCGGCGCTCGATCCCGGTTAGGCTTTTTGGGAGAGAAACCCTGAAATTGATTACAATTGAAAACAACAAAAAAAGGTTGTCAAGTGTCTCTGTGGGCGCCGGATTGCTCGACCCTGCTCGGCGCCTCGCCAGCCGCCCGCCCCATGGGGCCGCCCAGCCCGGCACGGCCCGGATCGGGCCGGCGCCCCTTCCCGGGGCCGGGCCCCTCCACCCGGGCGCGACCGCGTCCAGGGCTGATGTGCGTGTGTACACACAGCCCCACAGACATTTGTGATGTCAACGGGTTTTTTCCAGCTGCACGTAGAGGCACAGACACACGGACCTGCGTCCATCCCTCCCCATCCCTCCGCTGCCCAGATTTTTCCAGTACGAAGGAAAAACCATCTGGTCCCCCAAAGCCGGTCGCGACACGAGCGTGTCTTATCGTGAGAAGGTAGAAGGAAAACACAGGGAGAAAGAGGTTATGAGGGAGTGGGGGAAGGACAGAAGACGGATTCCCAGTATCACCCACATGACTTGCTAAGCGGCTACAGCTTCTCTAAAACCTCTGGACCATATGTTGGTTTATTTACACCCTTTGTCTTTTCGTGTGTCGCCTACTGAAATAATATTCCTGGGATATAAATGAAAGTAAGCTAGAGTAAATAAACAAGGGGAGCGCCTGCTTAAGGGATATGTAACATTTCTGAGATCCCAACAGAGTATGTCGTTCCCATGGTTATAAGAGGACCAGGATAGCAATTAAAGATTTTAGTTAAAACCCCTAGATTTTTAATGCCGAATGACACATTGACTCCATTTTCTTCTATATGATTTAGAGTTTTTGCAGAATTGAACTATGAGAGGAGAAGGAGTCACCGCAAAACCAACACTAAAAATACAATTAAAAAAAAAAAAAAAGTCACAGCAGATTAAGGTGGTCCTAATGATGACAACAGCTCAGAGAAACCTCCACGACTACCCGTGAGACTGACTTTATTCAAAACTTCTTCTACATTAGGATCCATCCCGCTCTGAGACCAGGACCACGTTGACTCGTCTGCATCAGGTGCCGAGATCCCATAGGATGCAAAGGGTGCAGGCACCAGTTCTCGCTTTTCAAATTCTGCACGTCAGCTTCGTTTTCTTCTTCATCCGAGGCAATCAACCCCATGGCCAGGCTGGAGTATACCGGGCTATGAGGAAACCTTTTTCTTAAAATAAATAGGACGCTCTAACAAATCGGCAGATTTTTAGTTGACTTTTTTTTTTTCTTTTCTTTCCTCCCACGTCAGAGTTACCCACAGAATCGACTCGATACTGTCGTAAAACCTGTCTTCCTGTCATTGCGGCTGTGCCTGGACTGGGGAAGCCACCCCTGGGTGCCAAGTTGAGCCCCCGGTGGCAGGAGCCGGGGTGAGCCTTGAGGGGCTACACCGCCAGCCCAAGCTGGGGGAACCCCCAGAGTACCTTGCCAGAGCCCAGCAGTTCCCTCTTGCCCCCCTCCCGCCTCGCTGCTGCCCCTGAGGATACCTGCTACCGGTCTCCCTGAAAGTCAGACAAAAGCGCGGGGATCACTATTCCCCCACCACCCCCAGCTGGTTCGGGAAGACACACAAAAAATTAGTCTCCAACTTTTGCCTGGTCACTGCTGGCTTAAATTGTCCTCTGCCCTGGATGAGGGCAATAGTGAAGCAGTGGGAGCTCCTTGCTCCACCGCCTGCTCCTGGGAGCGGCCGGGAAATAGGGTGCATCTGAACTTGGGCAAAACTGGACTGCCCTCCTGCAGCCCTCCCTCCTCCCTCGTTCTGGGGAGTCCCGGAGTGGGGGACTCAAAGGGAGGTTTCAAGGGGGGAGGTTTTGTTATCCCTACCTGAGGACAGATTAATCCTCACATATACTTGATAAAAATGAAGACCTTGCTGGGAGGAAGAGGGGAAAAAAATGGGTAGGAAAAGAAAGGAGTCACTGGATTGTTATTGTCTAGAAAACAGGCCACCTTTAAAAACCTGTTGTAGAAATACAGAGACTCCTTTAAGTGTGAAATATCATTTCATTGTAAATAGTCAAAAAAGAATCGGTAATCCAACTTCCGGAAACTGTTCTGAATTATTTCAGCAGACTCTTTTAAAAGAGGATTAGCAGGGCTTTAGGGGCAAAATCCTTCTGTTTTATTCAATCTCTGATTTTATGTTATAATTACTAGATGTAAAGACTCGCGAATTAGTATGCAGGCGTCGTTCAGACATTATGCAGGTGCTATTCTAATCATTCAGCTTTTTAATTAAGGAACGAGGTAAGAAAACAGAATCATAAAAACACTTTTGTGAGAGCTGAGAAAATCGTGAGCGACTGCATGAATAAAGCCTTTATACCTTATCCTGACAGGTCAGACACCAATTGCCTGACTTACGACCTTTTCTTGCTGAAACAATGGTTAACAGCTTTCTCACCTTGTTCCCATTATAGCCTTTATTCTCGTTGAGAATTTATGGAAATGGCCCTAAAATGCTTACACTAAAAAGGGATGCAAAAAGGTATTGCAATTTTAATTGGTGCGCGTCCCGTACAAAGATACTTTAATTCGGGTCTTTCGGAAATTGAGGGACTCAGCTCGGCACGAGGATTTGGGTAAATCGAAACGGTTTGAAGCACAAAATTCTCATCCAGGGGAGGAGGGGACACAAACAAACAAGAAAGCCACCCAAAGTTGCCGGAATGCCCGGGCAGCCGCCGCGGCTGGGACGGAGCCGGGTCCCCCCTTTGTTCAGCGCATCAGAAGGCATCGTGTTTCTTGATCCCGCGATGCAAACTTAAAGCCTTTGTGGGGCTTTGTTATTATTATTTAATTTCTTTCCCTCGCCTTCCTCCTCTCCCCTCCTCTGCACCCTCCCCACGCCTGGCATGACTGCATCACGTGTATTAACATATGAATGAAACAACCAGAGCCAATGCACTTAAGGTAATACCTATGCTCAGTTCTCGCCTGATTATCTTTTTATAGAAAGTTACATTAACTAATGACATTTACATAAATATGAATAATTAGTAAGGTAAGTAATTCTGCTCCGACGGGGGAAGGCGGAGTAGGGAAAAGCCTGAGACCTGAGCCCAATTTTCCTCTCCGCAGACCTGGGCTCTGCTTCACCCTGGCACCGGACAGGAGGCAACGGAGTCCTCCTCAGGGAGGGGGGGAACTGTCACATTTATATTGTTTTCTCTCTCTTTTTTTTTTTTTCCCCTTAATGCGAAACTTTTCTCTTGTGTCCCTCTTTTATCTTCCCTCCAGACCTCCAGTTCTGAGCAGAGTTCAGTGGCTGTAAATGATAGGTTCCCAAAAGCATCAATCCGCGCTCCTCTAGTACTTGGCCGAGAACAATGCAAGTATTAGGATATCAGCAGCACTCGAAATGATCACGCGTTAAATTATTTTGCTTTCACGGATGAGGGGGCTTTTTTCCAATGTAAATCAAGCGCTTTAGTTATTAAGTCTGAACACTAATCTCCAACAACCTTTACATAATGTGGCAGAATGTGCCACACCACTTCGCACCTGCACTCTGAATAGAGCCGCCTTTTCAATGTAAGACACGCTTGTTGCCCCTGGGCTCCAAAGGAGTTGTGTGAATAAGTCAAGCTTTTTGAATACCCCTACTCGCTTTCTCTTCCTCCTTTGATCACAGAAAATGTCTTCTAATTTGTCCTTTTTCATTGTAACAACGTTTTCAAGTCTCTTTTTATTTTCCAAACCACATATTTATAAAGAACATAAATCGCCCCAGAAAACAAAAGTTCTCTCCTCGCCAACTGGCCGAGTAGCCTATGACCACTTTGTTATTCACAAGGAGAAGGGGAAAACAAGGTTCTCGCAAAGACTGTTGCTTCTCGAGTTTGTCCTAAACAAACGTTTAACTTTGGGACGGGACGCGAGGAAAGAAACATGTTTGTTCCCCTCAAAAATAAAGGCAGATCCATTTGCCTTGGGGATCCGCCCGCTGCTCTCTCCAGGCTGGTGGCCAGCTGCATTTCAACCTTCTACCGGCGACAAATGGCGAGGAGGAGGGCAGAAGGCAGGAGAGAGCGATGTCTCTCCTTGACTACTGGAGTGACTGAAGTCTCCACCAACTTCCTGAGCCCACCAGACAGGTCAGGGAGAAGCCAGCTGTAGCGAGCGGCTTCGCACACATTAATTCTTAGCTGAGCTGCCTACTTTAACGACCTTCGACGATAATGAGCTCTAATTTATAAATCCGAGCAAGGTGTCGAAGTTCTTAGGGAGAAGAACTGCTAAAAACCCCACTCAGGCTCCTTTCTCCCCCTGCCCGCCAGCTCCCCGACACTATTTTTCTCCAAGGAGTAGGGCAGCGGCTGCACCGACGCCGAGCGCTCGGTGCCCGGCCCGGCTGCTCCAGGCTGTCCTGCCCGTTCTGCAGCCCCGAACCAGCTGCGGGGGGCAGAGGCGAGAGCCCAGCAGGGATTCCACCCCCTGCTTTCACCTCAGCCCCGTCTCAGACATCTCCGAGGTGCTTTGCCCGAGTGCCTGCTTAGGAGCAGTAGGTTAATGGCATTTAGTGAAGTTGGTCTCTCTGCAGGCTAAGCCCAACCTAGGAGTTTCTCACTCCTCCTTCTCACAGACGGGTTTCCGGACGACTCTTTAACATCCCTATTCATTAGTACGTTAATCAAGGCTGTAATCCCAGCGAAGAGGTGCCCGTGCATTCCTGCTGCAGCCAAAGCCGCCTCTCGAGCGTGCACCTACGAAGCACCGCGCAGCGCCCGCTCCCCCCTCCGACGGGTGCTTCCACCGAGAGGCTGTTTCCTTACATTACCGTAGGCTCCTCGTAAGAAAACCAACAAACCCTTCTAATACAGTTTAAAACACTTTGATGTCTTGCCAAGAAACACACTTCCTTCAAGAGACAAGTCAACATTTGTTTTTCACATTAAATGGCATTTAGTTGCCACTGAAAAAATGATGCTGAAGGACCACTTTTTAATTCGATGTATAACAACCGCGGGGGTCTAAGAGAAAATAACGGCGAAAGCTATAGACACAAATAACTAAATTACCAAAACGTTAGTATATCTCCTAGGTTCATTAATATGTAACAGACTCCCCAGTTAATCTCCAAAAGCCAGTGTTCCCCCTCTAAAATAGCACTCTGGGACGAATTGTACAGGAGATCAATCACTGCTAATGCAGTAAGGTTTACTGCAAGGGGGGAAAAAGCTATTTACACCTTCAAATAGAAGCTTTTGAGATTTAAGAGTAAGGGTCATACATCACCAAGAATAAATGATTATGAATTGGTAAACGCGCCCTCCAGCCATTAGCTATGCGACACGATTTATCATTTCTGGGTGTTTTTCTTTTTAAAATCATCTGGCTGTTTGAAAAGAAAAGCATGACGGAGAAAAAAAACACCGCGGGAAAGTTTGTTTTTGCATATACTATAAGTCATCAAAACATGGCTATTCAGAAATAAACGGGGTCACTTATGAACTGCTTAACGAGAGACAATAAAGCCCTTTCATTGTACACTTTTATAACTCAGGGATCGGTAGGCTTCTCCCAGCCCAGCCTCCGGCCGTCTCTGCCTTTTTTCCTCCTTTCGTTGCAAGTTACAAACCCAGGAGTGTTGTAAGAAATCATTTACGCCAAAAAAAAAAAAAAAAAAAAAAAAAAAGGTTACCGGTGTCTTTCCTTCCCCTGACATATATTTGATTTACATCACAGGGGACATTTTGCCAGTTTTAACAATTGCCAGTCGTTATCCAAGATGGTCACGAACAGCTGCGTGGAGGACCTGCCCTGGCAGCAAATGTGGGATGGTGGCACAGGACATATCTTGTTCCTTGTTTCCCTCAGGAAAAAGTGCTCGTTTGGGTGGAAAACCTTGCAGCCCAGATCGGTGGAAGCCGGCTCTGCCCCTCTGGCGGTATCTGGATTTCTTGTGTGCGCGTCATTGAATTATCATATTATCATTGAAACTGCTTCGCAAACACGAGTAAACCTTTTTCCACTTAGACTCCGCTTAGGGCGGTGGGAATGTTACTCATCAAATTAAATAATCTGTAATAAAACACATACTTCAGAGATGGGAAAGAATGACAGCGTGCTGCCGAAGGGCGGGGGGGGGAGAGCTGACGGCCCCCCGCCCCGGCTGCTGGGGGGCCGGGGTGGCGATTCCCAAGGCCGGGCAGCACTCCCGCCGGCCGTGCCCTGCGGCCCTGGGCTTGGGGTGGGCACCGAGATCTGCCTTCGCTGGAGACCCGTCACACCCGGGCTTCCGGGTGGGAAATCACCTACTATATCGTCACATTCTCTTTCGCCCCATAAACAACTCAGATCCAGGCCAGGGGCGAGATGCTGGCAGTGGACAGGGGAGGCCGTCGAGGACCACCTATCTGGAGCACCTCTCTGGAAGTGGCCTTCAGAAACTTGGAAACTAGGGGAGATTCTTCAGGCCTCTCGGGGAGGTGTGTTAGGGACCTTCTCTTGGGAGGGCCTCCGGGGAAAATATAAAGTTCCCTAAACTCTTACATCCCGCTGCCCCGATACGTCGTGTTTCAATTGTGACAAGTGCCTGTTTTCTTAGGGTAAGAGATTTAATATGTCTGGTGAAAGGGTCTGTAGCAGTGAGGCTCACAGTAGGTAACCAGCTCTGCTAGGGGGCTTTTTAGTCCCACTTCTAACACTCCTAACATATTTGCAAGATTTGGGAATAAAGCGACTTGGTTGTAGTCTCGAGGACGAGCTGAGATTTCTGGTTTGTTTTACAAGCTCGTTACAGGCACATTTGGCCAAAGGGCACTGTTTTATTTAAAGACAAAACACAGAGCCCATTCTGGGGAATGCTAGGCTTTTACGAAACTCTGCTCCGTGGCTTATTGTCTACTGGGTGGCTTTGGAAAAAAAGAACCCCAAACAGAAAACCCAAACCCGTGCCAGTTGCACACGATGCGTTGCTGACCCTCTGGGTGCAAATGCCTTGTTGGAGCCACCCGAAGACGTTTATCAGGCGATGTTGTCCCCTCTCCTCTCCTGGGCGTCTCTCTGCCCTCCACGGTAAGCAGCGAAGAGCTCCTGCGCCAGCCGCGGAGAGCCGCGGAGAGCGGAGGGGGCGGGCGCAAGTGGCGCAGGATCCCCTCCGGACATCAGCCCCCTGCCCCTCGCCCAGCAGAGCAGTGGCCACCTCTCCGTGGACTTCACTAGGGCGTGAACGAGTGTGCGCTGTGCTGAGAAGCGAAGGGGTTGTGAAAACCTTCGCCAGGTCCAGCCGCTGGGGTGCGGAGAGGGCAGGCACAGCCAACCCTGCTCTGCTCTGCCCTCACCCCCGGCTTCCCCGGCCTGCGCAGCCACCTCTGCCCGCGCCAAACAGCGCCTGCTGCCCCCTCTCATTTCGAGACGAGGAGTGACAATAAAATTCCCCTTTGTCACAGGAGAGCGAAAGGAGGCTGAGGCTGTTCCCTGCCTCCCCGGGGTCCCCACTGGAATGTCCACTACTCGGTCCACCAAGGAGGACTGAGGTGCAAGACCTTTTCTTCTGAAATCCTCTTTTCTTTTAAAAGCTCATTTTACAACCCAGAGGAAGGAAAAATTATTCTGAGATAATCTGGTTCTTTAGAATAGATGGGATTGTTTCCTTGAATATCTAATTTTGCAATTCCAGTTCGAAGTACAGCCATTTTCTCTTTATTACATCATTCTGCATTTTATTTCTATGATTTTATGTTTTACTGCTATTCCTGTGAAAGTCTATATTTTCAGCGTTATAGAAAGTCTCTGAAGATCCATAAGATTATTATTTATCTGACTTTCTGTGTCTCCGAGTGCTGTATACATCATATAATTGCCTTAAAATGTTTTCATAAATTACATTCAGAAATGTGTCATAGTAAATTACCTTTGTAATAAAATGTAAAAAATGCAAATGGCTGTTGTCTTTATTACGTTTTAAACCATTGGTTTATCTGCACTATTTCACTTGTCAGTTGCACAATATGTTGTATAAAGGGAAAGCACAGTTTGATAACAGATAGATGGAACCTCGTGTGTAATCTAGCAGGCACGTACAGTTTGGGTCATTTCCTTATCTCCCGCAGAAAAGACATTATCCCCCTCATATTTACATACTTTTCAATATTTGTCAAACAATCATAAATTATAAATTAATGAAATGTTCGGCAGTCTTCAGAGATCAGACTAATGAAGACATTTACCTTTTTGGTGATTTGGATTCTCATCTTTGTAAGTTTAATGACATTTAGACTCTCACGGTTTATTAGGCTTTATTAGATTTGTCCTTCACTCCTGCTGTCATTCAGATGTCTCTGCATAAACATCACCTGCTTCAGGTACAAGAACAAATCGTTTTCTTCCAGAAAGTCTCTGGAGCAGCAGCGACACCACGCCTGGCGCGGAGGGGCGCGGAGCGGGGCTCCGGGGGTCCCGCAGGCCAAGCGAAACTGTCCTCGCCCGGCGCCACCGGCTGACCGCCACCCCGACCGGGCTGGCAGCCCACTCCCCGGCCAGCCCCGGCGGTCGGGAGTTGCTAAACTCCCTCCCCAGCCAAGGAACCCATCTGCCTTTGGTTACACCGGAGCCCGGGCCCAGCCCGCAGACGGACGCACCCACCCCGGCCCCTCGAGGCCCTCCATGTCGGGCTCCTGAGCGACGCCTGAGCGTGCCAAGAACATGTGTCAGCTCTTAGTGCGCTGTTTTTTCGTTTCTTATTTCTGTGACGAGGTGTTCTCGGTGCCGCAGGGCGCTGGGCCTGCGGCGCTGCCCGGCCGGGCAAGGCAAGCTGGCCCCGCTCGGCGTGGCGCGGGGAACTCGCTCTGATGGACGGTACCTGCCTCCCCAACGCGATTACGCGGCAGAAATTGGGTTGTTCCCAGAAAGGTCGGCACTCGTCGCCCTCAACCTTTGCCTGGAGAGGCACGCGCTAAATCCCGCCGGCCGGACCCTGGCGCCATCTTCCTGGGAACAAAGACCCGGGGCTTCCCAGCGCCGCCGCCGCCCTGTAATCGAGTTTCCTAATTGCATTACTCCGTTCGCAAATGTCAGGAGCATGTGTTGGGGCACTCTGCCCCCCCCTCTCCGCATGCCCCCCTCCCCGGGGACAGCCCAGCGTGCCTCGACGGCCTTCTCGGCCCCACGGCTCTCCCCGGCCCCGGGAGCGGGCAGCGGGCACGGGCGCTGCCTCACAGCCTCTGCACTCCTTCAAACAGACATCGGGTCTGACTAAAACTCGCTCCACGAACCTCGAACATTATTTGCAGAGGCTTCCAAATATTTCCAAACAACGGTTTTTTAAAACACAACGGAGAGATATTAAAGCGCTTGTTGGTAAAGCGAGCATGTGTTCTGCAATCATCAAAAATTGATATGTACCGCCAGTAAAGCAATTATGCACCATCCTGAGGATACGAGAACAGTACATTGTTAATCCACTTGCACACCCGTTGACTTGCAGCATCAGGCTGCAAATAGCTTAATTAAGTCATACACGTGGAATATAACCATATTGTTACATTGCATTATGCACACTATATCTCAATTTATTGGGACAATTAATGCTAGTGATAGACCTCGGGCGAAAAATATTAACCGCAAAGCACTAAAGTTGCATTCTGGTGACATTTGCAGAACGAGAAGTAAACATTGAAACAAGGCACAGCCTTCGAGAACTGCGAGAACCTGCCCGTACTTAGCAGGCACTTCGAGCATCCGGAGGGAACGATCTTCACTATTCTCCGTTCCCTAACTGTGTCCTGACTTGCGAAAGCACTCGGAGGATCAAACCCTCTCATTCTTCTTTACTCCAGGGAAGTTTAGATGGGAGCTCCGGGATCGGCCCTCGGAAGATGAGAAGTCCAGAGCAAGGGGCCTTTGGGCCAGAGCGAGTTTCCTTGCAGGGTTGAGAAAGTGTAATATAGAAGGTCTATGATACCAGGGCGGGGACTGAACACCAGAGTTTCATGGGCAGCCCAGAGCTGGGAGGGTACACTAGACAGTCTAATAGCTTGCCCACTCGTGAGCGTGACCACATGCCGGTATTTCCCACAGAGGAGAGGCGAGGATGCATCCCGGGGTGAGATCCCGGGCTGACTCCGGGCCCACTGTGCCCAGAGAGAGGTAGAGCCGTCCCGGTGCTCCCAGGTCCCTCCGGAATCGGGGCGCAACAGGTAAAGTGTCGGCAGCGTCCAGTCAGTGGCCAGGATGGGGATGATCTCTTGGTGGCCAAGGTGGGCACACCCAGCCCGGCCGGCAGGTTTTCAGGCCCCCCACCCGGGCCAACCTGCCCCCTCACGGCCCCAAACTGGGCTGCCTCCCCCCGTCTGGTGCCCCAAGGGAGCCGAGGGGTGAAGCTGACTCCAGAGTGCTCACAGCATCACGTCTCCCCGAGGGGTCTCCAAGCGCTCTGCACGGGTTTCAAAGCCGGGAGTCAGCGGCGCTGGGAGAGGCGGGGGAACCTGTCCCGCGCAGGGGGCAGTGGTGGAGAGGAAGCGCCGAGGGAGTAGCTCCGAGGGGCAGCGGGGCTCTGTCCTGTCAGACTTTGTCCGGGTCGTTCGTGCAAGCAGGTGCAGGTACGCTTCTGGCAGCCTACGGCTGGAACGTACCCCTTCATCCCCGGATTTACCCCCTTTACTGCAAAACCGCTCAAAATCGATATTATTATACAGGGAACAAAATATTCCCAAAT